ACTCAGCTGGTGGTCATTAGGCTCCCCTCTAGACTATAAAAAGGACTGCTTGTGCACACGCCCCTCTTAGACAAGCAATGGAGGAATTAATGTCGGAGAACATTATTGTGAGCTTGGTAGGCTGGATTGCTGCCAAGGACCTGTCTGTTAATTAAATGCCGTAACTTATCTTTGGCTCGGAGTGTGTGTTGGTGTGGGACAAGGGGGGTCAGAACAGTTGTCCTAACTTTTCTTGAAAACCTCCAGTGAAGAAGCATCCACAATTCCAGGAGGAGAGCTCTTCCATTGCTTGTCTATGAAGATTCTCAATCATCCAGGTCATGGCTTGCCCCACAGTGTTTTTTCCCCAAAAGGCAGCTGGACTTCCTTGTTTTTCTCCTTTAAAAACATTTTGCTTCTCATCCAAGAAGCTTCTTCAGAACTCCAAATGAGATGATGAGAAAAGTAAAAGGTTTTCAAAGGGAAAAAAAAACCATGACAAGTCCAGTGGCCTTTTCGAAAAAGCACCTTTGAGTCTTCCACTGTTCTATGTAAGGTAAAGGTTCCCCTCGCACATATGTGCTAGTTGTTCCTGACTCTAGGGGGCGATGCTCATCTCCGAAGAGCCAGCGCTGTCTGAAGACCTCTCCATGGTCATGTGGCCGTCATGACTCAACATCCAAGGTGCATGGAATGCTGTTATCTTCCCACCAAAGGTGGTTCCTATTTTTCTACTAAATGTTTCCACATAAACATTTTTTATGTGCTTTCGAACAGCTAGGTTGGCAGAAGCTGGGACAAGCAATGTGATCTCACTTCATTATGCAGCGGTAGGGATTCAAAGCACTGACCTTTCTGATTGACAACCTCAGCATCTTAGCCCCTGAGCCACCGCATCCCAGTTCTACATAAACCCTACTTGTTTCCATACTGGGCCTCCCTTTGATGTTGCCCAATGAGCAATTCTGACAACTAGTGATTGAAAACGGTCAGGCTTACAATTCCCAGGTTGCTCCCACACTCTGTGGGAACTGGAGCTCAACCTCACCAACTCACCTTGGAGTAAACAGTTGACTCTTGTCGCTGCCCGTCACGATACCAGGTGATTTCAGCTGCTGGCTTGGCTCCAGCTGCGCGGCACGAAAGGTTGTAAGGGATGTTGGAGATGACATGGACAATGGGACCACTGTGAATCTCAGGGTCATTGGGGGGGACTGCAAGAACAGAGGCAGAGAGTTAGGGTTGGTTACCTTGTCTTGGAAAGAGGCTATAGACCAGCAGGCCTGGGAATGACCAACTGTTGGCACCACAATTCATTCACTAATAGAAGAAAATATTTGTAGCTCGGGGTTGAACTGTGGTGATCTTACACGACGAGCCATATCCCTTTCCTCGTAGCTCAATTTAGGCTTTCACGATACTCTCATGGAAAGATCCACCAGAACAGGGATGTCAAACTCGATTTCATTGAGGGCCACATAAGGGTTCTGTTTGACCTCGGGTGTCAGACCTGCAAGCCATCTTTTCTTTTTTAGGTTTCAGGTCTGCTACATTTTCTACTGTGGGAAAATGGGAGGGGGGATAATATGGAGTTTGGTGATGTGTAGCCATAACAACATTCCTCTTAGAAAGTCAAGGTCTGGTTTGCACACCTGACATTGGGGTGGGGGGGCAGGGTCGGCGTGGCCAGGGTGGGCATGGCAGAAGGTTGCAGGAGGCTGTCCCAGCTGAAAATGGAGCTCACAGGGGGTGCCTGTGGTGCCCCAAGTGCTCTACCAGTGAAAATAGGTTCCTAAGTTCCGTTTTTGGCTGGAACGGCCTCCTGCAACCCTCTGCCAGCGAAAACAAAGCTTGGGAGGGCCACGAGCGGCCCCTGCAAGCTCCATTTCCTCTGGCAGAGGCACTGTGGGCCAGTCCTCTGTTGTTTCCAGGGCAGCCCCCACAGGCCAGATCTAAGCACCCTGCGGGTCCGGTCAATGAGTTTGACACCCCTGAACCAGAAGAATCAACAAGAGACCTTGGCAGACAATATTAGATGTTTGACTTTCTCTTGGTGTATATTAGTTGGGGTAGCTTTTCAGGAGACCCAAATTGAGATTTTGAAACACTGGGATCGTCTGATCAACACAAAAACAGGAAGGGAACTCACTAAGTACAGTAAGTTTGGCTCGCTGGGAGCGTAGGGCCGCTTGTGTGGCTTGGCACTCGTAAACAGCATCGTCGTCTAGTTCAGCATAGTCGATGCGTAAGTTGTGTTGACCGGCAGATGCATCTCCTACAATAGAGTAGCGGGACCAACCTGTGGAGAAAGCCATAGGATAACATGTCAGCTGTTACCGGGTAGACCAGATTGGAAACTATGACCAGACAAACTAACTCTACTTATTCTAAAGTTAGATTAATAGAATCTTGCAAGTCTGAAAATAAGACACCTCCCGCCATTATTTTTGGCAACCAAGAATTTAGGGATGGTCTCTTCTTAGTCTCTTGCTATGCCTGCTATACAGCTGTAGGCTACGCTCCCTCTTATCCGATCATTCTCTAGGCATTCTCTTCGCCTGGTCTCCCAAGGTCTTTCCCGCACATCATTACAAGGATGAAACTAGGATTGAAAAATCCAGTTCTGTGTTGCTCAGGATGAGATTGACTTATGAACAACACCTATTGCAGTTTGTGGTAAGCCACTATTTCTCCCAATAAGGTTCTATGAGTGTCCTTTCCCCAATCATCTACCATGTCACTCTTCTGCCCTAGGCTTCCTTAACAAGCATGAAGCAAAGTCTTGGTCCCGGCAAAACCTCTTTTATTAACACGACTGTGTATTCCTTTCATTCACAGTCAGCAAGGCATGGCAAAAACAAAGTCAAGTCTTTCAGAGGAATATTTATCAACACGAACCTTATCTCGCTTGGAGAGCTGCCAGATAACTACTTTCCAAAGGCAGGGCAAGGCAACACTTGGCACAGAGTTTCTTATAATCACAAACAGAACTTTCCACTCTTGAAACGACTGAAGGAATTAATTGTTTCCTGCAAAAGCCCACTCCCCATTCGCTCCTCTTTTGTTTCCTATGGGAGGGGCCAATCACCTGCAAGATGTGGCTTTACTCCCAAATCGACCCCACTTTCTTAGTTGTTCCTGTTTTCTGGCAGCTCTGCGCATGCGCACACTGGGAACAGGCTCCAGCTGTTCCTCTGCCTCACTGCTGTTTAGCTCCCTTTCTGCCTCCAATGCAGAACCCTCGTCTGAGCTTTCCTCAACCCCAGGACTGGACCATGTTCCTCCCGAACCTCCTCACTGTCTGTCTCCGGGCCACAACAATACAGTCATGATAGACCTACCGGGTAAGTCTCTCTCTCCCCCTAAGGCCAGTCCATCTTTGGTCCATTGAACCATGCCACGGTAGCCCATGATCACACATGCTAATGTCACCGACTGACCGGAGACAATCACTTGATCCATAGGCTGTTGAAAGAAATAGGCGGCCAACCCTGTGAAAACAAAACAAAGATTTAAAGTCAGACTGTTTAGTGATCCTAATAGAGAAATCAGGACTTCTTGGCTGGAGCTTCAGAGGAGATATGCTTGAACCGATTTGCTGAATTCAGACTGATCGTCTGCCAAGACCAGCATTTCGCTTCTGCCAGTGGCCCATTTATCTTGGAAAGTTTACAGGAAGGGAGAAAACACAGGCTTATCCAATATTGTCTTCAGAGCCTGCTACTACTGTGTTTTCCCAAAAATAAGACAGGGTCTTATTTTCTTTTGACCCACAAAATAAGCACTTGGCCTTATTTTCGGGGAGGTCTTATTATTTTTGAGGTGCAGGAGGCAGTGAGCATGGTCACCTCATGGGTGCCTCATGTGTTGCAATATTTTCGGGGAGGGCTTAATTTGGAGGGAGGGCTTATTTTAGAGCATGAGCTCAAAAGCCCGATTCTGCTTATTATCCAGGGAGGTCTTATTTTGGGGGAAATAGCGTAGTGGCACATCACTTTTCTTTTTCTTTTTTTTTGTTTTTTTATTTTTATTTTATCAATTTCATATATACATTNCTGGAGGCTAAAACATAGGAACTGGGTATGGCTAGGAGTCTAATGAAGAGAAGGATCGGGGTGACGTGGTAACAGTCATAGTCAATATTTGAGGGGTTGTCACCAAGAAGAAGGGGACAACCTATTCTCCAAAGCACCTGAGGGCAGGAAGAAGACGTAACGGATGGAAAAAGACAGATCCAACCTACAACTAAAGGGAAGTTGCCTGACAGTGAGAATGGCTTGCCTTCAAAAGTTGGAGGTGCTCCATCACTGGAGGTTTTTAAGAAAGAGACTGGACATCGATTTGTCCAGAATGGCACAAGGTCTCCTGCTTGAGCAGAGGGCTGCACTAGAAGACCTCCAAAGTCCCTTCTAACCTTGTTATAGCAATAGCACTTAGGACTTATATACAGCTTTACAGTGTTCTACAACCCTTTCTAAGCAGTTTACAGCATATTTTCCCCAACAATCTGGGTCCTCATTTCACCCACCTCGGAAGGATGGAAGGCTGAGTCAATCTTGAGCCTGGTGAGATTTGAACTGCCAAATTGCAGGCAGACGGCAGTCTGCAGTACTGCACTCTGACCACTGTGCCACCCTGGCTCCTTTTATACCTTGATTTTGTTAACTGCTGCTTCTCATGTAGGCAGACTCTTGAAATGAGCGCTGTCGCTATTCAAGAGGTGTCTTACACACACAAATGTCATAGTTGCTCCATATTGATTGCTGATTGGACCCAGCATAGTCCAATCACAACTACACAAATGTTCGTAAATGATAATACAGATCCATATCCTTCAAAGATGGGTTCCTTGGCACCTTGAGGGTAAACAGTGTTTCCATGCAGGTGTCCTCCAGGGATCTGTAGGTTTTCCAAATCCCATTAGGTTGACTTGTGTTAGGGAAATTGGGAATTATAGTTCAATACATCCAGAAGATTTAAGTTAGGGTATTGTTTCCCAGCTGAAATAAACCCAGTTACCCATGAAAAGCTGTTTGCCCTTGACGGATCTACTCCTTGGTCTTTTGACCACCAGGAAGCTCTTAAGATTCAAGGAGCTGAACAGAGTCTGTTTTGCTGCACAGATTCCTCCAACATAAAGCCTGCTTAACTGCAATCCAATAAGGGCTGGCCTTTTGTTCTATTGTTGAGAAGTTTACTCACTCCATCAAGATCTGAATAGTGGGATAATCCATTCAAGAGGGTCAAGAAGATTGCGACACAGAATCAGCTGAAGACAAAGGCCTCGATGGCAGTCAAAAAAGGCATTTTTTCTTGACCTAAGCACAGTACACAAAATTGTCTGCTACAACGTCCTACCTGTCAACGACTTCTTCAGCTTCAACCTCAATAGTACACGGGAAAATCATCAATACAAATTAGCAATAGCAATAGCAGTTAGACTTATATACCGCTTCATAGGGCTTTCAGCCCTCTCTAAGCNCTTCTCTCCTTCTCTCCTTCCTTCCCTCCTTGCTTCTCTCCTTCTCTCCTTCCTTCCCTCCTTGCTTCCCTCCCTCCTTCCCTTCACCACTTTTCTATACACGGAGGATCGACATCATTATTTTATCTAAAAGCAGTCCCCCCCACCTGGTCTCACACACGTAAGGTGTTTTTTGTGATTAGCGGTTCTAAATTAGTACATCTTATTTTTTTAGGTAAAATTATGCCACCTGTAAGCCAATCCACCCATTTTCTGAAAAGCTGCAGTGTGGATGGCAGACAACAATATGGGGAAAATTTTCGATGCTCCTATCAATATGCTAATGGGATATTTGCTTTGCATGCAAAACATTTCAGGTTTCAGAAAGACTAAGAGAGATCTTCGTTTGAAATTTAACTAGAGGCATTGCAGGACATGAGAGTGGTGCCTGATATAGGCCACTGCCAAGGATCTGCCAGGCGACATTTGGAATTTCTCTCAAGTGGGTCCTGGAGATCTTGCACTTTGCTTTGTTGTGAAGAGACCAGGGGAGGTGCTGAGTGAGTGGGGATTATCCATTGCACAATCGACTTCTCAGCACTCTGGTGCCACCCTGGTTTTCCATTACAGTCCAAGCGAAGGTGCCAAAAGAGAATTCCACCAGTGGGCCTTTTTGCGATGGGGAGGTAGAGCAGGAAAGTACAGCCACAGCTCCCCATCCCTCGCATTGCAACTCGGAGTAACACTCTCAAATCCTGCCCGGATAGCCAGTAAGAAAGGCCAAGCATTAGGCGTAAGGTAATAACATGGAAAGCCCTTTTTCACTCTTTATAGAAACAATAAAATAAATATCCTTCCAGTTTGCAGGTTCTGTGTTTTGCCAACACCAACACCCGCTAATAATCAGAATGTGTTTCTTGCATTTTCCCGGTGTAATTTCTCTTCCAGTGGCCAAGCCATTTCCCACTTCAATTCAAAGCTTGCTTACTCAGAAACAATTCCTACTGAATTAATTCAACGGGGCTTACTCTAGAGTAAGGGCTGCATTCTCCCTCTCTTTTGTGAGAGCTGAAAAAGGCAAAAATGTGGAGGCGAAGAAAAGGGAGATAGAGCGTGCCTTGTTTTATTACTTTTAAAGATGACACCGTTGCCCTCAGGTCCCTGCCGTAGTCTTATCTCTCCACACAGATGCTCAGGTGCAGCCTGGTGCGCTGTGAGTTTGCTCTTCGCCAAGGAAACTTCTGCCTGGCTCCACAGTACTCCTACAAAACTATTTCTTTCCTGCCTTCCTGCCTCGCTCTTGGCGAATGCATTTAAAGGTAGCTCAGAGTTGGCAGGCATCCAGAACTGTACACAGACAGGTGTGCGCATACCAATGTACTGTTGGAGGACTAGATTCCTAGACCTCAGACTTTGCTTTCTACTTAACGTATTTTTTGGAGTATAAGACGCACCTTTTTCCCTCAAAAAAGAGGGTGAAAATCTGGGTGCGTCTCATACACTGAATACAGCATTTTTGGCCTCCCAAAACTCTACCCCCTTTGCAAAAATGGCTGTGCAGAGCCTTTAGGAGCCTTCCAGAGTGCTCCTGGGGGCTGGGGAGGGCAAAAATGAGTGAAAAAAGGGGCCGTTTTGTGCTCATTTTTGCCCCCTCAGCCGCCAGGAGCACTCTATAAGCCTCCTAAAGGCTATGCATGCCCCCTTTTTTGACAAAAACCAGGCCCATTTTCACAAAAAACAGGTTGTTTTTGGGAGGTCTGCAGAGTGCAAAAATCTTTTTTTAAAAATTTGCCTCTTCAAAATCTTGGTGCGTCTTATACTCCGGTGCATCTTATACTCTGAAAAACATGGTAAATCAAAGCAGGAGCAGACAGTCAACATGATCACAGTGACACGCATGTGAACAGATCAGCAGATCCTGTAACATCGATCTTATTCCATCTGTTTATGGACGGCTTTAAACTTTTGAATTCCATTCTTTAACAAAAGAGTGAAATAGATTTATAAAGGAACAAAAAAGAGGCTTTAGAAAGAGTGCAGGGAAGAGCAGCAAAGATAATTAGGGTGCTGGAGG